TAATCCTAACAAAACTAAAGTACTAACATTCCAGAAAAGACCCAGAGTTCAGGGACAGAGACATAACTTCACCCTTGGTGTGACCAAAATTGAAAATGCCACAAACTACACATACCTCGGGCTGAAGATAAATGCAACTGGCAAGCTAAATTTGGCTGTGAATGAACTGAAAGAGAAAGCAAGAAGGGCCTTTTATGCCATCAAAAAATCTATCCAAATTGAAATACCAATTAGAATCTGGCTCAAAATATTCCAATCAGTCATAGAACCTATTGCATTATATGGCAGTGAAGTGTGGGGTCCTCTCCTAAATCACCAATTCGAAAAATGGGACAAAAATCCGATTGAAGCCCTGCATGCTGAGTTCTGTAAGAGTATCCTCCGAGTACAGAGGAGCACACCGAACAACGCATGCAGGGCAGAATTAGGCCAATACCCTCTACTAATGCGCATTGAGAAAAGAGCCATCAAATTTTGGAAAAATGAGTGACCCCAGCTCTTTTTAAAGCCCTTAAAAACCATGAAGTGAACCCTGAAAAAAGAATTATAAATTGTTCGTAGAATTCTACGATTCTAAAATGTTAATTTGTTTTACTTTTTGTAAATGTATATACATGCATGTTTTTGTTGCATATATATCTGTTCTAGATTCAATGTAAACACTATGCTTTGGCAAAACATTGTAACATTTGTCATGCCAATAAACAACATATTGAATTGAAATTGAATTGAATTGAGAGAGCGAGAGAGAGAGAGAGAGAGAGAGAGAGATGCAGAGCAGGGGGACACGAGGAACAGTATTAAGAACCGCTGCTTTAGAACATTGATTTTGAAACTTGTGAATCCATTAGAATCGTTAGACAGAATCGCGATTCATATATGAACAGATTTTTACGTGTACCTCTAGTTTTCCCTTGCGTGTTCCCAGGGGCGGGGTTTATCTGGGTTTGTGATGTCACGAACCCGTGAAGTAACTCGTTGTAGTCCCTACCAGCCGTTTTTGTAGGCATTAAACTGACAGAATTTTAAAAGACGGTATCTTTGTTTGCGTTGAACTTTCAGCTTTGTAACTTTGCAGATATTGTTTATGCTCAAACAGCAACATTACACACTAACTAACGTTAAAAAAGTGAAATCGCAATCAACCACCCCTTTAAAACAGCTGTTTAGACTCATATTCTGACGGCACCCAATCACTGCCGAGGATCCATTGGTGAGCAAGTGATGTGATGTTAAATTTCTCCAAATCTGTTCTGATGGAGAAACAACCTCATCTACATCTTGGATGGCCTGAGAGTGAGTACATTTTCAGGAAATTTTCCATTTTTTAGTGAACTATTGCTTTAAAACACATTCAGTTTATTAGTACTGTTACATAACTCTTGCCAGTTTCATACCAGTTTCATGTGTGCACGACTGATTAATATGCATCATGCTGCGTTTATTACATTAAAATGGATGGAAATGTTATTTAAATACATAAATTTTACTGATCCCACAAGGAAAGTCACCTGTTAGCAGTACTCTGAACTTGTCAGCAGTGATGGAGACAACAGTGGTCTGTGTGGAGTCTGTCTCGGGGTCCTGAGCCTGAAGTCTGAGCTGGACTGTGGGTTCATTCACTTGCTTCAGTTCACTGGAGCTCAAGGTGTAATCGACCCGCCAGTTCACCGCTTCCAGACGACCCACTAACATGGATCACAATAGTACATTTCAATGAATGATCTGGACTGTATTTCTATTTTTTGGTAATACTCACAGCGCAGACTGCTCCCCCTCAGCTTTTCCTGTAGAGCGCTGTGTTTATCCTCATATGATTTACACAATCCGGTGGTGTGCTCTAAAAACAGACATGTAAATGTGTTAAGTTTTAAGTATAACTTTGAAAAAGTTGATAAAACACATACAGTGGTTATAGAAAATAATCACCCCTCTTTAAAATAATCACATTTTGTTGCTTTGCAGCCTGAAATGAAGACAGACAAAGTTTTTGTTTTATCCAGCTGTTTACTCAGTGCAACTTATAACATCCAAGTGAAAGATATAACACCAACATGTCAGGGAAAAAAAAAAATCTGAATCACTGAGTTGGAAAAAGGATCACCCCTTGTGTCAGTATTTTGTTGAATCACTTTTTGCTTTAATTACAGCCTTCAGTCTGTTGGGATATGTCTCTGTCTCCACTAACTTTGCACATCTAGACTTTGCTATATTTACTCACTCTTCTTTGCAGAACTGCTCAAGTTCAGTTCAATTTGATGGTGAGCGTTTGTGGACTGCAGTCTTCAAGTCATTCCACAGATCTTCGATGGGGTTTAAGTCTGGGCTCTGACGAAGCCATGCAAGGACATTCAGCTTTTTCTCCTTCAACCACCGTGTGCCCAGTTTTGCTGTGTGCTTTGGGTCATTGTCATGTTGGAAGGTAAACTATAAAAAAAGCTATAAAATGCTGCCTTCAGAGGACGCATCCCACGGTAGGAAGGCATCAAGGCATGTCCGAATCCAAAGTTAGCTTCACTTCCTGTCTCATGAGATGCCTTCATCTGATCGATTTTTGAAGGTAGCATAGGTGTATCCTTCACTGCCTTTGATATCCCACAATCCTGTGCGTTCCATTCCGTGATGGTTG